GTTTTAAAATATTTTTTGATGTATCTAATATTATAAAATATTTTTTTTAGATATGTCCAGCACTTTAAAATATTTTTTAATGCATCCAGCATTAAAAAAAGTTGTTGAGTTAGAATAACAGGTTAAGATTATGTATAATGTATTTGTCACTTCTCAATCACTTTGCTTTGATTATTCTTTTTTTTTAAATAAAAAATACTCATCTATTTTATCTTCTTTTTTTTTGGCAACATCGATTTTTTCTTTCCTATTAAATGCTTCTTTCATTAAAATACATGTTTTTAATTAATTAATTAATTCTTAGCTTAATAACTTCTCTTAGTAAAAATTTATTGCAAGCTAATATGTGCCATTGAATATTAAGAATAATTATAAAAAAATAATTTTGAATTTGAAAAAAATCTCAATGTAAAACTTATAATGTGATTTTTCTTACATCTTTTTACATGATGATGATTATTTTATGAAAAAATCACAAAAAAGGAATGTTGAAATAAAAAAAATTACAAATAGGGACCTATTACAACATTCCTATGGGTTTTAGTAATAATAATATAGGTTTTGACAACAATTTTTTGTAATTTTTCAATTTCAATAGTCTTTTTTTATGATTTTTTCTTATTTTATATTCAATTTTATTTTATCAATTTTAAATATTGAGTACTCGTTTAAAACCTTGATTGCATGATTATGTTATGTATATATGGTCCAACTTACCCTTTTTTTTTATCTTGCTTTACAAGTTAGGCCTATCTTATAACAAGTCAGGCTTGAGGTATCAATTTGTGGCTTGTTATAGTTTTTTTTTTTTTTTAAACTCAAGCTTGGTTTGTGTAAAAGCCTGACACTTTAAAATTAATGCACACAAGAATATACCATCTAAATGTCTATTTTTATGGCTCAAAAGCCCCATATGAAAGAACAAGGAAGTTTATTGTAAAATTTTAGAGATTATGGAAGTTATTTACATATGACATTAAAGACATGTTATCAAGTCTAATTCGCCAGTTTTCAATTGCATTTCCCTCCCGTTAGCCCGTTATTATAGATGCGAGGCCTACCTTTCTCTAAGCCCATTTAATCTTTCATGGGAGTTTGAGTTTATATATATACTTGGACTTTCTCTTACTCATCCCATGTGGGATTTTATTTGACGCACTCTTCATTTTTATCAACATTATATATGTCTCACTCTTCTCAATCTTTAATTTCTTAATTGAATTTTGGCCAATAACTATCATGTCTCACCTAATCACCTTTAATTTCTCCAAATTTCTTACTATCTCCGGTCATTAATATAAGAATTAATTGGAGATTATATTTGATTCTAAATATAAGACTTTAATATATTTTATCTCTCATATTTATAACATTTTCTCAAATTAATTTACCTAACTTATAAACTGATGTGTAATCGATCTAATATTGTACATGAGTATTTTAAAAAGATAATGTCACATTTGTTATAATTAAATGATTGATTTAGCCTTTTAATTTATTTAAATTAATTAATTAGATTTTATATTAAAAATTAAGTAGTAGTTGACACTTTTTTTGTACTATTTATATAAGGTGTGTAATAAATAGTGAAAAAAATAAATGGACCAAACTGGCTAGCTCAACCAGAAAACCGATGAACTAATCAATAGTCCAATTTGGTTTAAGCAATGAACCGATACCAACTCGGTCAAACCGGTGCAAGCTACCAAAAACCGGTATAAACTAGTTTGAATAATTATTTTGCTATTTGTCTTATTTTTCTCATTCAACTCCTAACAGTTAATTTACTATATATTTGAATGAATTTTAATAATAATTTTGGTATTAATAATTATTAATTTTAGTCAAGTAATTAAGTTGTACACTTTATAAATCATATGAACGCTGTAATATATTAATGAACAATTGATAATGTTTTGCATTTGATTTTTGTTGACATAAAATTCAAACGCATCAAATATAGAATGAAAATTAATGTCAAATATAGAATAAAAATTAATTAAGAATTACAATGTTACTTTTGTAACATTTGGGAGGATTAAACTCAAGGATTTGGACTGCTATGTGCGCTCATGACACACAGGCTTTAAGGCTTGTGTCGCCTATCAAATATAAAAACATTAGTTTACTAAATTTGCCCAAAAAAAAAGCGACTCGTCCCATAAAATATGTAAATTCAAATCTTACTGTCAATGAAATTAATTAGTTTTATATTATTCCCACCGGTCTTAAATATTTATCTCTCAAATTTATAATTTTTCTCAAACTATCTATATTTTGATTACACATATTGTTAATGAGGGTTTTTATCATGGATTTAGCACCTACACAAATAAAATAAAAAAGATGTTTTAGAAAAACCAACACACAATTTTGATAAATAGTTAACTTAATCAACTTATTTGTGAATTACTACCTCATATTTTTAATATAAAATCAAATTAACTAATTTAATAAAATTAAAGAAGTCACCAAATTACTTTAAAGTATTTATATTTATTATTTTTATCCAAACCAATTTGTCTTACTTGTAAATTGATATCTAATCTAATGATACATATAAATAATTTAGTGAGATTATGTAACATATGTTATAATTAAGTAATTTAATAATTTTTTAAAATTTTTTAAATTAGTCAATTGAGTATTATATTAAGGACCATAAACAGTAACTATTTAGTTTTGGTATTAAGAATTTAAGAGTTTCCAACTTCACACAAACAAGCTAAACGTGGAGGGGACATGGATGTGGACACATTTTAATTGAAGGGGGAAGAAAGTGATCTTTCGTCAGTGGCCTTGAAATTTCCACGTTAATCTCAGGAGTTCATATGAGTCCATGCACACATTAAATTTCTCGACAAACTGGTCCCCAAAATAACTAAATCCCTCTCATAATTTATATTCCCACCCAAGCCTTCAACGTGCTGAGAATTATATACACCTAAACACAATCAATTTAGTAATCATTCATCAATCATTACTAGCCATGCTTCTCCCTGCCCATCTTTGATATAATAGGTATTTAATTAATTTGAGTTCATTAAAAAAGTCCCATGAATTAATTAATCATAAAAATATATGCTCTAATTTCCCTAAAATAGCCATATGTTACATTAGGTTATACTCCTCAGGTTCTATTTATAAGATAAAAAGATAAAAAAAAATTTTATTGATATTTATAAGGCACTGAGAGAAATTTTTTATATGAATGCACAATTTTACCCTTTATTTATTTTTGTATTGGCTTTGTTTAAATAAAATATAATGTATATTAAATAAAAATAAAGTTGAAAAGTTATTAAATTTTAAACGAGAGTCAACGAAATTTAATGTTTTTTTTATCTGTGTGAAACATGTTGAAAGTAACTTGTAAATAGTTACAAAGAAGTGTGTATATATATATGTCAATTTATAAGTTAGAAAAATTAGTTTAAAAAATAATATATATATATATATATATATGAGAGACAAAAATGAAATAAGATATTATATTTAAAACCAATTCTAACACTCAACATAACTCTTGTTACCTTTGATTTTTAATATAAAAACTAGTTAGGAGTTGAATTTGGTTCAAAATATAATATATCAATCCACTTTATTTTATATATATTTTTTAATATTTCTATTGATTGCAAAGGTTCTTATAAAATGATAATTCTAATAATCTAATACACATAATTAAAAGAAATGGTTCAGAAAAATCAACATACATTTGTGATGAATAACTAATTTAATTAATTTTTTATATATTTCAAAATAATTATTTAATTTTTATATTAAGATCAGGCATACAGAGTAGCTCTCTTGTTACCAAAGGCCGGAGAAAGTACCTTCTTTTTGAGGTTTTTTAATGGTTGATATTAATGCAAAGGGAAAACACCTGTCAAGCTCATGCCCGGTGAAGCGTGAACACAATTCGACCTTGCAACGTGCGCAATTGTGCTTCCATGCACTGTGGGGTCCCACTATAACTAGATCAGTCCCTAACTGCCAGGTGAGTGATCACGGCCGCACCAAAAATTTCCTTAGTACGATTGGGTTAATCACTTTAATCCCATCGTGAATGAATCAATCCCAACTGCACTGGTAAATACCACTCCCTTCGTTTTTTATTATAAAAGACAAATAATTAAATTACGTTGATAAAAAAATAGTTAAAATTAGTTGAGAACAATTAATATGTAAAAAGTATAATGTTTTTTCAACAATGCTCCCATTAATAAGGAGAGAGAGAACAATTAAATTATTAAAAGAAAGAGAAGTAGGAGGGAGAGAGAGTATGAGTTGGAGACAAAATAAATAGGGGTAAAATAGGAAATCAATATAAAAAAATAGAGACAACTTTTAAGTGTCTCTTATATATGGGAACATGCCATAAACATCAAATGTCTCTTATAATAAGGAACGGAGGGAGTATCTCGAACTAATTGATTGATTTAAATAAATTAAAAAAAATTAGTTAAGTTAGTTATTTATAATAAATAAGTATTATTTTTTGTAAAATATCCTTACTAATCAAATATATTTGCTAAAACAATTATTATTAGAAAGACTACTTTAAAAAAATAGAAAAATATGAGAGACGAGATAAATTGGTATTTTATACTTAAGACCAAAATAAAAATTAAATGAATTCTTATACTAATGATTAGAGGTAGTATTGTCTTTTATCCTCAATATAAAATTCAGTTGATTAATTTAAAAAAATTAAGAAAATTGCTAAATTACTTAATTATAGCATATGTTACATATTTTTCTAAAATACTAATGTATATTATTAGATTATATATCAATGTATAAATGATACAAATTAATTTGAAAAAATAATAAATATAAATAGTTTAAAATAATTTAGTAACTCTTTTAATTTTTTTTCCAGATTCATCAATTGAGTCTTATATTAAAGGCTCAAAATAGTAGTTTAGTATTGCGGCTTGAATTTCATCAAGTAAAATAAAACACACAGTCACTATCAAAAAAAAAGAAAAACATACAGTCATCGGAATAACCTTCCCCATCATAATATTGGGGTTATGAGATTTTAAATCTTTCCACTTTAAGCGTTTTCCCATTTTTTCAAGGCAGCCAATGAGCTGCCAAATGGAGAATTCTCTTGTGTTGCCCATAGTTCAAAACATTTAAACCTTTTTTTAATAAAATTATCAAATTTCTTTCCTTAAGCATAAAGATTAAATGAGATAACTGTCAAATAACGATAAATTTATTTTAAAACAATAAAAACCGTTAACAATATTTGATGATTTTCTAATTAACTAGTATTATATTTATTGATAAAGTATTTGATAGTTAACTAAACAAGTGTTAGATATTTTTCTTTCTCGTCATGTAGTCTCAACTTAAAATCATATTTTTTTCATAAAATTGTTATTTTTTTCCTCTCATTTCTAGCATTGTTAATTTTGTAAATAAGAAAATCTTATTTAGAATTAAATAAGAAAAAATCCAAAAAAAAAACTGTTGAATTTCAAAATTCCAAATCAAGAATTACTTTCAAAATGTGTTGTTATTTGTTCTTCGAGTGTAGTCATTTTCTTTTTGAGTGTAGTAACTAATATTGATTTAGAATTTTGAAATTCAACAGTAATTTTTTTAATTAAATTTTTCATTAAATAATGTACACACATATATAGAGGTATGGAGTAAAGGATGAACATGTATTTACCACTAAGGAAGGGGCAACCATCCCCTTTCCAAGCCCCACAAATTAATTACTACTTTAAATGACCAAACCTTGTTGTGCATCGCATCGTAGTGTAGCCACATGGGGATGTAGCTGGACCTCATGTTAATCTATGGAAAAATCGATGGTTGACAAAAAAGAAAACGAAGGAAAAATCGATGAAATTTTCTTGTTTAAAAATTTTACTGATTAAAGGGACTTGAATTGAAGTGCTTGGTCTTTTTTCTTTTGTTTGAAACAGTACTTTTTTTGTATGAAACATATTGGGTTATAAGATTACAAACATATTTGAACCTTTAACTTTTCATTTATAAAGAAACTTTCATACCACTAGATTACAAAACTAATAATATTAACAAAGTTTTTTGCACACTAAAAATCTATAGTTCTGGATCTTGAGGCAACTTTTTTATATTTAAATCCTTTGAAATAAGTTTATTATTTAATTTTTTTAAGTATGAGTAATTTTAACTTAAAAATTCATTTTTTTACTGGGAATATAATATGTATTTTCTTGCTCCATCTAGGTTTTTTTTTTTTTTTATTGTAGACAGTCTTATTTATTTCGGATACTATCAAGTACTAAATATAAATATCTCCTTTAACAGGAATTCAAATCTTGATTTACTATGTACAAGGGATTAGTTTTTTTTTTTTTTAATTAGACCTAGACCTAGTCACCGTCGCTATATAATGTGCAATTGACATGCAACGTCCTTCACCACATGCATTTGATGTGCAACGTCCTTCCCTATTATACCCTGGTAGTTGGCATCTTGATGGGCGTGGGCGACTTGGCTGGGATTTGACCATACATTAGCTCCATGGGGAGGAGGCCAATACCATAATTCAAATTTGGCATCCAAAATATCTCCAATTTTGTTACTTAAAAACTTTAAAATCATTATTGCCTCCTTACCTCACATCTACTATCTATAATCCTTAATATAAGACCAGTTAACTAATTTGAAGAAATTAAAAAGAGTACTAAATTACTTAATTGTAACATATATTACATAATCTTTTTAAAATAGTTATATGTATTATCAGATTATAAATTAATTTTTTAATTTGGTCAGCAGAATTGCCATGTTCTTGGTCCTGGCTGGTCCATGTATGGCTATATGGATGTTAACTCATAATGACTTCATAATTAGCCTGAAAATTCAACTGGAGAACATAAAATTTTTCAGTGTGTGTGTGTTTTTCAAATTTTTAGAAAAGGACAGTTTAATATTTAAGAAAAATTCATATGAAATTATATGTTTATACAAAATTTAATTAACTTCTAACATTTTTAACAGTAACTATCTTTTTATTGTTTTTTCATTTGACAAAACTGTCAGTTAATTATGTGATGAATATGAATTAATAAAATCATTAAATAATAATCATCCAGAAAATTTTAAATAATACAAATTGGAAAACATTTAATTGTATTTTACTAAAAAAAACATTTATATTAATTCTGTAGCAATCTATTATATATTATTTCTCCACTATGAAATTGAAAGTTAATAAGTGACAAATTATAAAGTTTTAAAAGGAATCAATGCTTCATCAGAATCCGAGAATAATTTTAAAATGGAATCAAAACCATAAAGTGACGGTTATTTTAAACTATACAAAAACGCTTTTCATAAGGCAAAAAAATATTTTTATCTGCAAACTTAATTTCTTGTTTTATTCTTTTTTGGTTTCCTTTCATCCTATATGTTTTAGGTAGTGGACAAAAATATTATCAAATTACAATAAATATTTTGAAATTACATTAGGATATTTTTTCAAGGACGAAATTTTGGTCCACTGAGAGGGGGAAAAAACTCAAATATTGAGATTTTATAGAAAAATTATTTCAAGGTATACAAAATTATTATCAAACATTATCAACACCATCAATAAAATTATTTTAATCCAAATCATCAATGATAAATATAAAATTAATAATTATTCCTAAATATATTAATTGAGGCTAATGATCTGTGACCACATAATTGGACCCTTGCGTTGATGAAGATGACAGACTTGATTCTGACACCTAACTAGACACGAGGGAGACGGTGAACGTTGCCGACGATGGAAGAGACTTAATTTAAATATGTATAATAACGAGATCCAAAATAAAAAATGACTGATTCTTACTTAATATTAAGATTTTTAGTAATTATTTTTTTTCATGATTTTATTGCAATTTTCTCATTAATTTGTTGCGTTAAAGTTATATTTAATATTATGAAATATTTTTTAATAGTACTCAGTATTTTAAATTAATTTTTGATATTTTTTCAGTGATCTCAATATTTTAAAATAATTTTGTGTGCATTCTGTATTTTAAAATGTTTTTCAATAGCATTCAATATTTAGAGTGCTTGTTGTTATTAAAAAAATATTTTAAGAATAAAATTACATCAAGAATTATTTTAAAAAATTAACTTTTTGTTTCTTATAATTTTAATTTAATATAATTCAATTATCAAACTTTAACTCCGTAAAATAAGTTATACCGAGTTAAAATTTATGAAATGAGTTACAATCAAGTCAAAATTATAATGATAATTTTTTTTATTATTTTAGAATTTCAAGTACTATTGAGCATTTTAGAATGCATACACTAAATATTAATTTAGGATATTAAATGTTATCTTAAAAATGGAACTTAACCCATGAATTTTTAATTTTATTTGTTCATGGATTGGGTTGATTTTCAATCCGCTTTCTATTTTTGGGGCCAAAATCCCGGGCATCAATTTGGTTTGATTGATTTTGTAAACATTTCGGACTCAGTCAAATCAAATATCGATTGATCATATTATCAGTCAAATATACCAATCTCATCCAAATATGATAAAAAAAAAAAGTGTTAAGATGTATTTAGTGGAAAAAAATTTTTATTCAGTATTCTGAAGTATTTTTTTAAAAGTACGTTTAGTATTTTAAAATATTTTTTGATGTATCTAATTTCTAAAATATTTTTTTTAAATATGTTCAGCACTCTAAAATATTTTTTAATGCATCCAACATCAAGACTAAAAAAATATTTCAAAGTATTAAATATACTTGAAAAATATTTTAAAGTGTTGAATGTCACATAAAATATTTTAAAATATTAGATATGTCCCAAAAAAACTTGGGGTGCTAGCACCTTAGCCCAAAATAAAATTCAGTGCACTGGCGGCAAATTTTGTTATATACTCTAAATTCTATCAAAAGAAAAGTTGTTGAGTTAGGATAACAGGATAAGATTATGTATAATGTATTTGTCACTTCCCAATCACTTTGCTTTGATTATTCTTACTTTTTTAATAAAAAATACTCATCTATTTTATCTTTTTTTTTTTTTTGCCAACATCGATTTTATCTTTCCTATTAAATGCTTCTTTCATTAAAATACACGTTTTTAATTAATTAATTAATGCTTAGCTTAATAACTTCTCTTAGTAAAAATTTATTGCAAGCTAATATGTGCCATTGGATATTAAGAATAATTATGGAAAAATAATTTTAAATTTGAAAAAAAATCTCAATGTAAAACTTATAGGGTTAAGGTGCACTCAGCACCCCGAACTATTTACCCAGGTACGTCCAGTGGCCTAAAGTAATTTTGGGTGCATCCAGTATCCTAAACTAATTAAAATGGTGCGTCCATATCTCAGGCTAACAGAAATGTTATGTTTAACTGTTACTTTTCTGACTCAGCTTAAAGTTGACCCCAGATATTCTACATGGTAGACACATGGGCACACGATGTGTATTATTCTTACTCAAAAGTCAATTTATTTAGAAGAAGAGGAAGGAAATAAATTCAATTTTGAGTAAGAATAATACATATCAAATGTCCATATGTGTATCATTTAGAATATCTGGGGTCAACTTTAAATTGAGTCAGGAAAATAACAGTTAAACATAACATTTCTGTTAGCCTGGGATATGGACGCACCATTTTAATTAGTTTAGGACACTGGATGCACCCAAAATTACTTTAGGCCACTGGACGCACCTGGGTAAATAGTTCAGGGTGCTGGGCGCACTTTAGCCCAAACTTATAATGTGATTTTTCTTACATCTTTTTACATGACGATGATTATTTTATGAAAAATCACAAAAAAAGAATGCTGAAATAAAAAAAAATTACAAATAGGGACTTGTTACAACATTCCTATGGGTTTTGGCAATAATAGTATAGGTTTTGACAACAATTTTTATGAACAAGTCCTTGTTTGTAATTTTTCAATTTCAGTAGTTTTTTTAATGATTTTTTGTTATTTTATATTCAATTTTATTTTGTCAATTTTAAATACAGAGTACTCGTTTAAAACCTTGATTGCATGATTATGTTATGTATATATGGTCCAACTTACCCTTTTTTTTTAACCTTGCTTTACAAGTTAGGCCTATCTTATAACAAGTCAGGCTTGAATATCATTTTGTGGCTTGTTACACTTTTTTTTTTTTTAAGCTCAAGCTTGGTTTGTGTAAAAGCCTGACAACAGCCTATATTTCTAAAAACTTCAAAAAGGAGGCCTTCAAACATGATAAAAAGAGGACGCCTTCATGTAAGTTGAAAATAAGCTATAATTACATAAATCAATCTAAAATTATAATAACTCAATCCAAATTATCAAAAATACAACATAAAATAATATAATATAATCAATCAACAAGGTAATACCAAACATAACATTATAAATTTATAACATGCTCAAACCAATCTAATAGGGTTAATAGGCTTTTTAGAGAGTTTGAGTTTGACTGTTAAGCGAAATAGATTTTCAAAACGGCTCAGGCTTACTCTTGTTTTTAAATAGGTTAGGTCAAATGCAAGCCAAGCCGAACGATAAGTCTTAATAAGCCTTCTACCTAATTTTCACCCTTATTTCTAGCTAACAAAATTGTTATGAATAATTTAAAAGTTTATTTTTTTAATTTTCAAATACATTTGTTTAATAAAGAACGTGATTTTTTTAAAAAATTTTGATAAAATATGTTAAGAGTGTCTTATAAATAAGATTGTGGGTGTCTGTATATATTATGATTCATGAATGATATTTTACTATCTTCGATCCTTAATATAAAACCCAATTAACTAATTTAAAGAAATTAATAAAGTTACTAAATTACTTTAAACTATTTATATTTATAATTTTTTAAATTAATTTGTCTCACTTATAAATTGATATAATTTAATGATTCATATAACTATTTTAAAAAAATCATGTAATATATACTATAATTAAATAATTTAATACTCATCCGGTCCTTAATATAGAACCCAATTTTTGAGTTGGTTTTGGTCCTAAATATAATAACCATTTCTCATATTTATCAATTTTCTCTAAATTATCCCTATGAATACTCCCTCAACTATAATCAAGTAGAAGAGGGAGAGGGGGTATTAAGAAAGATGATTATGATGTTTTAGAAAAAATGTGTCACTTTTCTTATAATTAAATAATTTTCCTAACTTCTTTAATCTAATCAAATTAGTTAAATGGGTCTTACATTAAAGATCGGAGGAGTAACTTACTTAACCTCTCTAAATTAATTAACCGATTCTTATATGAAAAATATTATATAATAATTGTAGACGTCTCCGTGAATGGCGCCTGGAAATTCAAAGCTTAAAGCACGGTCGTCGTAGCAATTTCCTGATTTCCCTCCTGCTTCCCGTTTGTAGTTTTCGGAAAAGCACAAGAAATATGTCACGCATACACAGACACGCATTTGATTTTGATAGCACTGCCCTAGTCTAGAAGGATGATTCAATGTCCAACCTATCCAATCTCCAACAAATCTAGCTAAATACAAAAAAAAAAACTTTATTATTATTATTATTATTATTATTATTATTATTTGGCAATTTCTTTATTATTATTCGCATATAATTAAAGAAGATTAAGTTATAAGGGAATTTTTTGTCAACTTAAATTCTTCATTATTGGAGCATGGAACTCTTTTGCTTAATTAATTTAAAATCCATGTAATAGTTCCTTAAATTGTTAAATATATAAATTCATAAAAATACCGAATGTTCTCTATTTATTAAATAAGTCAAATCGTTATTGGGATCAAAGGAATTATTGCCAAGCGCCTCCCTAAGGTTTATTTAAGCGTGAGGTTATTGACTTATTGTGAGTTCAAATTCTCAGTTAAGAATATAATAGGTGTATGAGTTATGACAAATGAAAAAAAAGAAAAAAAAGAAGCCAAATCATGCTAAACAGTAAGTACATATGACTCATCATTTTTATTTCGATTTGTAAAATTCTTCAGCGAAAGAGTTTTGAGAAACTGCTAAAAAATTTATTGTAAAATTTGTTGCTTAAAGTATCTAAGGACCCAAACTTTTAACTGTAATATCTATATGTGAAATTTTTTTCAGTTATATATAAATATATTCCTTGATACTTAATATAAGATTATTTAACTAATTTGATTAGATTAACGAAGTTAAGTAAGTTAGTTAATTATAAGAAATGTAACATGTTTTTCCTAAAACACCATAATCATCTTTCTTAATATCCTCTCCCCTCTTCTACTTGATTAAAGTTGAGGGAGTATCTATAGGTATAATTTAGAAAAAATTGATAAATATAATAAATTGGCCTTACATTTAGGATTAAAATTAACTCAATAATTAGGTTCCATATTAAGAACTGAAGGAGTATGTCAAATAGTGTGATCTTTCACAGGGTCTCCCTTCGATCTCCTTTATCAGTGGAGGAAGAAAAATCTGCTTTCACTGTCACTTTGAAATTTCAAGTCAAAAACACCACTTTTGAAATTTCAACCAGTTTCTGTCCCCAAAAAAAAACAAGAAGAAGAAAATTTCAACTAGTTATGGTTCTAATTGAACAACGTATAATGAAAAATTCCAAAATTCAACTCATCAATGCCTGGTCTACCTAAAATTCCTTTAATCTAATTGGTCGCATTAATTATTGACTAGTTTTAATTATTTACCTAAAATCCCCTTTTACATTTTAATTAATGCATTTATTGACTATATAAGAGAAGTCAAACAAGATTCGAAGATCCAAATCCGATGGCCCTGCATGTATGCGGGAGTTATAATCTTAGATGTGAATTATATGTACGCAAAAAAAAATATTACTCTTCCGGTCCTTAATATAAAACCCATTTAACTAATTTGATTAGATTAAGAAAGTTAGGTAAGTTAGTTAATTATGAGAAATGTGACACATTTTTCCTAAAACACCATAATCATCTTTCTTAATACCTCCTCTCATTCTTTTACTTGATTATGATTGAGGGAGTATCTATAGGGGTAATTTAGAGAAAATAGATAAATATGAGAAATGGGTCTTATATTTAGGATCAAAACCAACTCAACAATTGGGTCCTATATTAAGGACCGGAGGAGTAATTTATAAACACAATATTATTTTTTTAACATTCTATTTGAAGAACTTTTTAATGCCATCCATGTTATTAGCCTTGTGCAGATCGATCACATGATGAGTTATAACGATTTGTTGAGCCCAAAAAAAAAATGATGCATGAGGTTGTTAGAGTTTACTTTTATTAATAAATATTTCTATTCTTTTTATAAAATTTCAATTTTTAAATTGATTTGTTTTTTTATAAGATTTATTTTGAGGTTGTCTAAATATTAAATGTATTTTTACTAATTTTATTTTTAATTAATTGCATTATCTTTTGTTTTTATATATTCTCTTTCATTCTTTTTTTTTTGCCAATATTTCCCTCTCTCATCTACCCTTTTATAAATAACAGTACATGTAGAAAAAATATATTTCTTACATATTATTACTTTTAAGTTTTAATTAATGTTGACATATATTTCTTAAACCGTATAATTTAGTTAATTGGATTTGGAAACATACAAGTTGTAACCTCATGAGCAATAGTGTAACTTTAATTAGGGATGATTATAATGAGGTTTCAAGAAATAAAAATAATTACAAAAAAATTTTAATAACAACCTAAATAGCCTGTAATGACAAGTTCTAATATTGGAAATAACAATTTCTAGGATTTGTTGTGTAATTATTTTTCTTCCTTAAGATCTTATTGTAATTCTCCCTTTCAATTAATGTATAAAAAGAGTATGACTTTAATTCATTTAAATAGAAAAAGTCATTCAGTTCACAAGTATTAATATACCGAGTAATATGATTTAATTGCTCTTCAAACTTAGTGAAGTGCATGGGAGCCCACATAGTTAAATACTCCTCTGGTCCTTAATATAGGATCCAATTTGTGAGTTAGTTTTGGTCCTAAATATAAGACCCATTTATCATATTTATCAATTTTCTCTAAATTACCCTTATGGATACTCCTTCAACCATAATCAAGTAGAAGAGGAAGATGGGGTATTAAGAAATATAATTATGGTATTTTAGGAAAAACGTGTCATATTTCTTATAATTAACTAACTTACCTAACTTCCTTAATCTAATCAAATTAGTTAAATGGGTCTTATATTAAGGACCGGAGGAGTACATTAATTTCATATCAACAGTTTATCTTCATTTTATATAAAATTTGCAAAGCCAATGCACGACACTAAATAAATACATTAATTGCACTCATCAATATGTTATAGTAATAATAATCAGGAAAAGCAAAAGGGTGTGTGTGTGTGTGTGTAGAACTTGAAGCATTGTATATATATATCTCTCTCTCTAACCTCATCAAACAGAAAGTGAGAGAGATCATCGGAAAGTACAGTGAATAGAAGAGAAGAGAAGAGAGGGTGACCGATCGATGAGTTGGTTTGTGAAAAGTGATGGCCATGGATCATCAAGACGAGGGCAAATAGTGAGCTTGGAGATGGAGGAGCAGAGAGGAGGAGGAGGAGAACAAGGTATTTTTCTGACATGGGAGGATCTGAAGGTGACAGTGACGACCAATGGGAAAGACAAGTCTAGGCCAATCATTGAAGGTCTCACTGGTTATGCCAAGCCAGGACAGCTCTTAGCCATTATGGGTCCTTCTGGCTGTGGCAAGTCCACCCTCCTTGACGCCTTAGCAGGTAATAAAACTCCTTATACATACATACATATATACTTCTTGTTTGTCTCACAAAGTAGTCTTTCCTCTCCTCCTGCTGCATTAGGGAAGAGAGTGAAAAGATAGTAGTGTGCCTATGCTTGAACTCAGACCTGGAGGATAGGCTAGAGTTCTTTTTTTTTTAGATTATGCACAGGTATCATCCTATTAGAAGTAATTATATTCGAGATACTATCAAGTACTAAATATAAGCAAATCTCCCAACTCAGACCTGAAAGATAGGCTAGACTTTTTTTTTTTTTTTTTTTTAAAGATTATGCCCAGGCATCCTTCTATTAAAAGCAATTATATTCGAGATATTATCAAGCACTAAATGTAAGCACATCTTCCAATACATACGATAGACTCTTTTTAATTAAATTTTTTATTCTCTGGTCTTATTTATAGGACATTTTCAACATATTTCACACAAATTAAAGAAAACTTTAAACTGTATTAACTCTTCCTTAAAATATAACAATTTTCCAATTTTAATCCTTTTTAATATATATACTTTTTAAAAAAAATGATTTATACTATAATAAATGAAAGACAAAATTATACATTTATACAAAAAATTTAACAAGGTGACTTATAAATAGAAAAAAAAATCTTATTTCTCTGCTTTATATATAAATGGCTTAAATAGTACCAAATGGGTATATTCGACTTCCAAAACCTACCCGTTTAAGCGATGAAAACGCCTACCCCTGACCTAACTTAAACTAGTAGACTTAATTTCATGTTGCATTTTAGGTGGAAGCTACGATGGTGATGAGAGATAATTTGGATCCTTTGAAGTAGAAAGAAGTCCTCCTCTCTTTTTTTTTCTTTTTTTTTTATAAGTGATTTAAAACCTAATTTTGTGTAGATAATGGATATTACAATCCTTATAAGATTACTTTACCCATCTTTGAAAAATATGGGGGGATTTCATTTCATATAGGCATCTCGACCCCTGTGATATTTTTCTCAGTTTAATCATATATCCAATCTAAAAAATGAATTTTATTGAAGCATATTTATATGTTTATAGTTAATTATGCATAATTTATTATTAATTTAATTTATTTATTCTTAGTTATTATTGATTATTACAACTTATAATTTTATTAGTTGCGCATGATTTGAGGTAGTGCAAATTTGTCCTGCCTGTTTTAAATTATAAGAAATTTTTTTAAAAGAGAAATGTCATATTTTAAAATATAGCCCACAAAGAAGTTTAAAATTACTAAATTTTAAATAAAAAACTAATACAAAAATATGTTATTATTTGCAAGTCCAGTCAAAACCTATTAAAGTATTACTCCTCCGGTTCTTAATATAGGACCCAATTCTTGAGTTGATTTTGGTCCTAAATATAAGACCTATTTCTCATATTTATCATTTTTCTCTAAATTACCCCTATGGATACTCCCTCAACCATAATCAAGTAGAAGAGGGAGAGAGGTATTAAAAAGATGATTATGGTATTTTAAGAAAAATATGTCACTTTTCTTATAATTAACTAACTTACCTAACTTCTTTAATCTAATCAAATTAGTTAAATGGGTCTTATATTAAGGAGCGGAGGAGTATTAACAAACCTTTTAATGATTTTCAATTGTCCCTTCATAATTTCACTTTAATAAATAAAGGTGGAGATTAGTCTTAAATGAATATATTTATTGAGAAAATCAAGATATCGAAAGTATTTTTAATTGTTTTTATTGCCCTTTATATAAATTAGTTGAAAAGACATTATAGTAATATGCCGTTGATCCTTGTCTTTTAATGTTGAATGATCTCTTTTACGGTCCATCAACCTTCTTCTTCGAAGTTGTTGTAATGCCGTTAATGTCACCATCAATTGGCGCCCTCCTCGAAAGTCAAAATAGGAAGAGTGACAAAAATTTAAAAAAATTACTAAGTTTTAAATCAGTCTTAGTAACAATACTTTATTTAGTGTTAATAATACTGAATTTACGAATAACAAAATTTTTTTTACATTCTTTATTTAATATTTACAAATTTTTAGTTTTTTTTTTGTTGTTGTCATTTTCCCATCAAAATATATTTAATTAGGGAAAATGATAACTAGCTACTTCCTTCGAAAGCTATAAAATATGCAAGCCTTTAATGTTTGGAAAATGACATATACTTCCTCCCCTCCGTGGATTTACATTGGGCGCTCATCAAACTGATGAGCACCCAATGCTCATCAGATTTGGACCGTTCAGATTTGATTTGGACGGTCCAAATTTATTTTTATTTTTATTTTTTAAAAATAATTATTTTAATAAGTATAGGATAAAAAATAAAGATAATCTCTTAACTATCATTCTTTAAAAATATAATTTTTTCTATTTTAAAATAATTATTTAATAATATTAAATCTGAACCGTCCAGATTAGATGTGGACGGTCTAGATTGCTCATCAGGTGATGAACATTGAATGGGATCCCCCTCCATAATCTAAGAAATTGGTGAGGAGATGAAAGTTTAGTTCTTAAACATGTTCTAAAATAGTAATAAAGTTTTTTTTTTATTTTATCTCTAAAAAATGATAAAATTTCCTTTCATAACTATTTTTCATCTCTCTCCTATCTCCCCTCCTTATATTTAGTAGGGATGAAAGTGAAAAAAATCACGTTAATTATTATATCTTGGATCACAATTTTTTTTAACTAATTTCTTATATTATGAATCAGAAGGAGTAATAACTATCAAAAAATTTTTAATACTCAAAACAAACTCTAACTGCAAATTTTATTAAGAAACATTGATAACAAAATCACATAGATAAAAAAAATTAATTAAAATTAGTTAAAGATAATAAATATGTAAAACCCTTATTTATGATGGAAAAGAGAATAAAAGAAAGAATAAGAAAATGAATGAATTATGATTAGAGAAATAAGATAATAAATATATTAAATAGCAAAATAAGTAATTAAAAGGGGCAAAATAGAAAACTAGTCAAAAAATTTTGGGACATCTTGCAAATGTTTCTCAGAAATATGAGCAAGATAGAGATAATAGTTGTTTCTTATAAAAAGAGATGGAAGAATTATATAGATTACTCATAACACATTCTTGCATACCAAAAAATGCATTAAATTGTTACAAAAAATTTCATTTTATCTTAATTAAAGTTTTTTCCCTTTCTCACTATTTATAAATCATTATCATATCTATTATTTTTCTCTCTTTTCAGTGATAATTAAATATGGGTAAAATTAGAAACAAGTGTTAAATATACTACAAGTGACTTATATTAGAGACCTGACTTCTCCCTATAAATAACTTACATTTTGGGCCGGAGTGGTGTATTATTAAAAGAGAAGTTGTAATTTATTTTATAATCAATTTCCATGTGTGATGTGAAATTAATTGTAAAATTTCTCATTGTTAACTCAATTATTTCATATCTATAACTCTTTTTTCAAAATCTATAGCTATGTTAATGATTCTATTCTCTCGCATATTCCATCATTCTTTTCTTTCTATGTTAGTGCTTGTGCTCAGTAAGATAACGTTCACTAATGGCAATATCATGCTTTATAGAAGGAAGGACTTGCGCAAAACACACAGCATACAATAAGGAGTGGATAAAAAGGAACCCAAAAAAAAAAATCTCTAAGGACCTGGTTTAAAATTTAGTAAAACTATAAGGATGGAGAAATTACTTTTCTCTTTATTCAACTTTTTTAATTCATCCAAATTAGTTACATAACTCTTATAACTAACTAAGACATAAAAAAAAAAAAAAATTCACATTGCAGGTAGGTTGTGTACAAGGGCACAGCAAACAGGAGATATCCTTATCAATGGCCGCAAACAAGGACTGGCTTATGGAACATCAGTATGAAAAATACCCTTTAATTAGTTCATTTGCAAACAATAAATTCATGAATTAATTTCTAACAAAAATAGATACCACAATAGAGTTTTTTTTTTTGGCCCCTTCAGGCATATCTGACGCAAGATGATGCAATATTCACAACCTTAACGGTGGGAGAAGCAGTGCACTACTCAGCTCAATTGCAACTTCCTGATTCAATGACCAAGTCGGAGAAGAGGGAGAGAGCAGACTTCACAATCAGAGAAATGGGTTTACAAGACGCCATTAACACAAGGATTGGAGGTTGTGGAGGTTCTAAAGGAATCAGTGGAGGCCAAAAGAGAAGGGTTAGCATCTGTATTGAGATTCTCACACGGCCTAGCCTTCTGTTCCTTGATGAACCAACCAGTGGACTTGACAGTGCAGCTTCTTATTATGTTATGAGCAGAATTGCAAGCTTGAATCAGAAAGATGGAATTCAAAGGACTATTATTGCAGCAATTCATCAGCCTAGCAGTGAGGTTTTTGAGCTTTTTCATAACCTTTGCCTTCTGTCTTCTGGTCAAGCTGTGTACTTTGGCCCTGCTTCTGCTGCAAAGGAGGTTGGAACCCCCTTTTTTTCTTTTTGATTTTGTTTCTTTCGGTCAGTTTTGGGCTTTTGGAAGTGCTCATATGTTCATCTGATTCTAAAGTTGAATCCCATAATCATTCCGTTTTTCTTTCATCATCTGTCTGCAGTTTTTTGCATCAAATGGTTTTCCTTGCCCTACTCTCAAGAGCCCCTCTGATCATTTTGTAAAGACTATCAACAATGATTTTGATAAGGTAAATACAATTTGTAATATTTTTTTTTTCTTTTTAGGGGAAATCGCTATGAAGTCCTAAGGAAGAAGAAAGGTAATTATCAAAAAATTTTATAACAAGCAAGCAGCATATAATAACAAGTTTCAATATAGGAAATGATAACAGGTCCGCCATACTCACTTGTTATTGGGATTTTTGTTGATTATATTCTTTCCTTGGGACCTCATGTAGACCTACTTTGTTAAAGCAGCAAAGAGATAGGAAGGACCTGGTTCCCTTGATATATTCCCAATTCAACTGCATTGAAATGTGATTAATTTACCTTTTCTATTCCTAGGAGGACCCAGAGCAAGGATTATCCGAAGGACTAACCACAGAAGAACCAGTTCATATTCTTGTGGAATCATACAAGTCATCTGCAATCAGTCACCAAGTTCAAGCAGAAGTAGTTACAACAAGAACAAGGGTAGGTGCGCTTGTATCTTTACAGTGTGAACCCCAAAACACATGTAGACATTACAAAGAGAAATGCATATATATGTTGTGATCAGTTACCAAAAAAATCTCCAATAATAACCAAGCCTTTTGAATGCAGAATTCAAGTGCAGTGCAGATGAAAAGCCATGCCTCCTTCTTCAAGCAGTGCATCATTCTTACAAGAAGATCATTTTGGAATATGCATCGCGATTTAGGCTACTATTGGTTGCGTCTATTTATCTATGGTGGATTGGCTATAACTCTAGGCACTATCTTCTACAATGTTGGCTCAAGCAAAACAACTCAGGTGATAATACACAGAGAGAGAGAGAGAGAGAGAGAGAGAGAGTAATGAAGAGGATGATAATTTAGACAAAGTCGCCATTCTAGATCATGAATATAGATTGCAACCAGAGACAGACTCAAAACCTACTTTTTTAATGGTTTCAGGTAAGAGGCTCACTGCTCATGTTTGTGGCCACATTTCTGAGTTTCATAACCATTGCTGGGTTCGCTTCCCTTGTGGAGGACATGAAGGTACAGACTTTTATATGTATGAATATATGATTTTCCCATTTACATTGGCATAATTTATTGTCCCCACCATAAAGAAAAAGAGCATATTTTTTTTATTCTCCAGAAAGATACTGATGCTCCTCTGGTTTTTAATATAATACCTATTTAACTAATTTGATTATATTAAAGAAGTTAGATAAGTTGGTTTATTATAAAAAACATGACATGTTTTTTCTAAAACACCATAACTATCTTTTTTAATATCTTCCCTTTCTTATTTAATTATGATTGAGGGAGTATCTATAAGGGTAATTTAGGAAAAACTGATAAATATGATGAATAGGTTTTATATTTAGGACCAAAATTAATTTAACAATTAGATCTTATACTAAAGACAGGAGGAGTTTTGTTTTTCAGGCTCTCAGCTTTCTTTAAGTGCAAGCAGCTCCTCTTTTTGGCAAGCAAGAAATCTCTGATCTCTCTCAAGTTTGTTAATGCTGATATATTTTTTTTTAGGTGTTTCAAAGAGAAAGACTAAATGGGCATTATGGTGTTGCTGCATACACAATTGGACACACATTATCTTGCATTCCATTCTTGCTACTAATGTCACTGATTCCAGGAGCAATAATTTATTACCTAACCGGACTTCATAGTGGCTATCAGCATTTTCTCTACTTTGCTTCTGTGCTTTTCATCTCAGTAATGTTGGTTGAGAGCTGCATGATGATTGTTGCAAGCATGCTTCCAAATTTCTTGATGGGGATGATCACCGGTGCTGGAATTCTGGGATTAATGATGTTAACCGGTGGATTCTATCGCCTACCTGCGGAACTTCCTAAATTCTTATGGAGATATCCTTTTTACTACATTTCAATTCACAGGTATGCATGCCATGGATTGTTCAAGAATGAGTTTGAAGGTCTGACATTTACTATCAGTCAAGAGGGGAGGCCTAGGATCTTTAGTGGGGAAGAAATGCTGAGAAATTCATGGCAGATCGACGTGGAAAACTCGAAGTGGATCGATCTTTTGATTCTGGTAGGAATGGCAGTTCTGTACAGAAGTCTGTTCATGGTTATAGTCAAGATCCTTGAGAAGGTGAAGCCTATAGTTGCATCCTTCAACTTCAAGTGAGTTAGCATATTTATGTAGGATTGTCACATATGAATCAAGGAAATTAGATGAAAGAAGCCAAAGTGTGAATGGCTTTGAACAATACTACAATTAACAACAGAAGCTTGCTCAAGTCTATAAGTAAGGACTTGAACAAGTTTATTCAGAGTTGCTTTTAGAAGTGGTTTTCTAATTGTATATGTTTTTAAACGAATAGTTTTTCATATGTTTAAGAATGTGCTTCCTTTAACTTTATTTTATTTTTTCCATTTTATTTTCGTTTTCAGTTATGTCTATTGGTATCTTGGTTTTTGTATAAGTGTTAGGCTGGACTTGAAAACCTAGTTTTTAACGTAAGACCAAATGTACTTTCATATTTTGGAATGTCTCTTTGTTGTTGAATGGAACTAAAATAGTAAAATGCTGCAAAAGCCTTTACGGAGTAGGAAAAATACAAGGCTTTGTATTATTGTATTTTTATACTTTCAAATTTAGCAAAGACAATTAAAAAATAACAGTCTTGTATCTAATGCCAAGTCTGTGAATAATACGGCTTTCTAATAAAAACATTTTTCTAGCAAACTATTGCATATTGTATAATCATTTTTAATCACCATACTACCTCCGTCTTTAATATAATATTTACTTAATTAATTTAAGTAGATTAAATAAATTAATTTTTTGTCAAAGTTGTATGTTAGCTTTTCTAATATATCCTATTAAATTGTTTGCATTGAAACTAACTCTGAACACAAACTTTTTTAATATGTACAACCAATAGTGACAATTTTAGCAAAAAATGATAACTATTGAAAAAAAATAGATTTATATCTTATATTTGTGACCAAATTCAACCCCCAACTATTTTTTATATTAGAGATAGGAGGTAGTACTTTAAAAAAAATAAATATATTATTAATTTTATTATATATAATTTTAATAAATTTACTCGTATATTAACTTAGTAAACAGTAAAATTATATTAACAGGTATATTAAATACATAGTTTCTCTCACTCCTTATAATTTTTTAGAGGCTTTGTTTTTAGCAGTCACCAAATTCAAGAGAATGAACCTATTTTAGAATGAAATATGTACAGAAAATAGAGGGAGCAAGTATAACTATTATATGCTATACTATTAGCATCACAACATATCAATTCTACATCATTTATTATAAGATATATTTAATTAAAATAAAAGTTGGATTGACACTTGTAACATCCTGCTTTACATAAGAAAAGAGGTTGATACTTCTAAAATATTGTTAATACCCCCATCAAAATATTTTTTTTAAAAAAATATAAGTATCCTCTTATTGGAGGTAATATCAGGTATCAAATATGAGTATATTTTTTAAAGATAATTTAAATCTTAATTTGTTATGTTATGAGGAACCAACTTATTTCATTAAATACAATCCTTCTTAGCCGAAATATATATGTAAATATACATAGACACACAAGTAACTCATGGGCTTAGGACTTGGCCCATAGGCTTATTAGGTATTCCAACTAATGCTTTGCAGCCCATTGGGGGCATGAAGCAACGAATTAATAAATATTTATCAATATATCCAAAATTATAAAATGTTACGCTGTTAATAAATGATAAATAACGTAACATTTTTTTTTGGCCAGAAGTCCTATTGCTACCACTCTAATAGAAGGCAAAATATCTTAATAAAAAAAATGGCAGTTTCGGACCATAACCAATCTACTCCCTCAATTTTAAATAAAGGAATTGGTTAGAAGATTTATTTAATTTAAATATGAAACTTAATTTACTTTGTCTCTTAATTTCTTTTTTTTTTTCCTTATATATGTTATGTTAAACGAGTTTCTATTAAGAGGCGGGTTTAATGAAAATAATTAAAGAAGATATTTTTAAAAAGCCAACACATTTTTAGCAAATAATTAATTTAACTAATTTTTTTAATTTTTATAAATTAATTTTATGCCTCCTATATTAGCTACTTGGGTAGTAATCCTTTCACTTCTAAATATAGAACCTAAATAATTTATTTTTAGAGGTTAAAAGTTAATTAAGTTAATTATTTATAAAAAACTGTATGTTGATTTTTCTTAAATACTTTTTTAATTATTTGCACTGAAAACATCTCTTGATAAAAATCTCAATAAATAGGGGTAGTTTGAGAGAAAAATGTTATAGATTTAGAAGACAAGTGAATTAAAATTTTATGTCTAGAAGCAAGATGAATCACCTAATTAACTCCTCAAAGCTCATTAAGAAACATGATAAATGCCAAACTTGAATAATCCATATTATAATCCTTTTTTTAATAATATTCCGTACTATAATTGAATGACCCAAATTTAATGTCATTTTATTTTTATATTTTTAAGCTACAAAGATATGACGTTGAAGGTCAAATAAGGAAACCTTGTTTTGACCATGAAACTTCCGGTATATATTGTCATAATATATAAATTTAAAAATTCAACGTTTATTAAAAAAATTAATGACCAATAGATGAATAGAAAAATCATACCCTCATAAAATGAGGCCCAAATTATTATATAAATATTTAATATAAGAGTTAGTTAACTAATTTGAGGAGATTAAGAAAACTAGTTAAGTTAGTTATTTGTAATAAATAAATATTACTACTCTGGTCCTAAATATAAGAACTATTTTGTAGTGTAAATTACACTAGAAAAAAGATATTATATTTAGGAGCGAAGGAGTATCTTTTCTAAAATATTCTTGTTAATCAAGTGCATTAGCTAGAATTGCTATTATTACAGGGACTACCTTAGAAAAAATAAATAAATATGAGAGACAAAATGATTAGGGTCTTATATTTAAGACCAAAATAAAAGTCAAACGAACTTTTATGTTAAGGATAGGAGGTAGTAGCTAGTTGACTAACTTGAGTAGATTAAGAAAATTAGTTAAATTATTATTTGTAGTAAATAAATACTGTCTTTTCTAAAATATCCTTACTAATCAAGTGTATTGGTTAGGATTGTCATTATTACGAAGACTATCTTGAGAAAAATAAATAAATATAAAAGACAAAACGTATTGAAATATAATATTCAAGACTAAAATAAAAATAAAATAAGTTTTTATATTAAAGATTTGGCGTAGAACTAATCTGAAAAATATGCACATGTTATGTAAACTAATGGGAACACTTCATAGCAGCCTAAAGAATCATCCGTAATTTTCGTTCCCTCGATTTACAGAAACAGGCATTTGCTCAAATGTAAAAAATTATTTAATTATCGCACCCTTGCATGATATATTATTAAAATGCATTACACGTTCATGTTCTGGTTTTATCGCTTATTAAAATCCACATTCTAACCAAAATATTATTCTTTCTGTCTTAAATATAAAACCTATTTTATAGTACAATTTATACAACAAAATATATCTTACACTTAAGACGGGAGGAGTATTAATTTTTTTAATCCTCCAATCTTACAATGCAAAGCCGGATAATTATTTATAGAGATTAAAAAATTAGTTAAATTAGTTATTTGTAATAAATATATATTAATTTTTAAAAATATTTATTTAATAATTTGCATTGGTAACTGCCCACAAAAAAAGCCCCTTTAACAAGTGTAATTAATAAGAATAATGTGGATAACAATTATAAATTTAAAAGACAAATTGAATCAAAGTCTTATATTTAAGGACAAATCAACATATCCACTATTTTTATATTTACGATCTATTATTAAAATATTCAATCCGAGTTATTATCTTTGATCATTAATATGAGATTTAGTTAACTAACTTGAGAAAATTAAAGATGTTACTAAATTACTTATTTGCAACATATGCTACATATCTTTCTAAAACACTTATATCAATATATAAGTAAGTTAAATTGGTTTAGAGAAAAATAATAAATATAAATATTTTAAAATAATTTAGTAACTTTCTTAATATATCTAAATTAGTTAATTAGGTGTTATATTAAGGGCTAAAAAAATAGTATTTTAAATCTAAGATACTCTTTTTGACTCCATGTGGCATGCAGATGAATGTAGATAAACATCATATAAGGAAACCCTTTTTGATTTTGCACGTTACTGACCATTCTCACAACATTGTGGAAAATCTTTTAGTAATGATCCTACGTTAAATCTTATCTTTGGTTTACTGGAAAGCAAAGAATTGGGACAAAAAGACACACAGGGATCTGTGTGGAATCAATCGTCTAAGCGCATTTGGAGGGAAGATTGTTGAAAAGTCCACATCTCATATTTTCGTTGTATTAGTTTTGCTCCAACACAGTGACCAAAATTATTTGGGCGTTATTGGATTCATCTATTGTTCTTTCAACCAGTAACCTCATCCATGCATCCTTATCATGCACATGTATGCTTGAGTGCTAAAATTACAATAATTGAACCCTGTCTAACACAATCCTGTTCAATGATTTGGTCATCTTACTTCGTGAAGAATGAAGTATGAATGAAACATAGATGAGGAAATATATGACAATAAAGTCTTTTGAGTTATAATACTGTAAGATTTATATATATGTATATTCCGTTGGTGGTTGGGAGGGACAGTCTTGAGGTAGGTCATCCGCTCAAGCTATGGAAGCAACCTCTTGCAAACCAACAACAATACTAGCCACAAAAAAAAGTTAAGCCTAAGTTAGTCTCTCACATCATGACAAACCAAAGTTCTAATTCTCATTAAAAGAGATATCTATATTTAGTGTTTGACAGTATTTCAAATAAGATTACTTTCAATAGGAGGAAATCTTAGTATAGCCTAAAAAAAAAAAAAGGACTTATTCCACTCGATAAGATTGACTGCATAGATTGTACATGATGGGATTATACTTTATCAATCCAAAGTGAATCTGAGCCCCTTGCAAGAGTGCAGGGTTCAACTGTGCACAATAATGGAGTGTTTTAAAAATGTCAAATGTTTTCTTCCTCATCTTTTATTCTCAACTTAAAATCACTTTTTTTTTAATACAATCGTCATTTTCAGGAGTCGTGTTTTATCATTTCTAGCATAGTTAAATTTGTCAATAAGAAAATCTTATTTTATATAGGCAAGGATGGACCAACAATTACGACCACCTTAAATGGTCAAACCTTATGCATCATAGTGGTGCCCCATTGGATGGTCATGCAGGGATGTAGACCTCATATTCATATTTATCCCACTAAGTGTGGTCCAATATATAAATTATACGACGTTATTATGTTCTATCAATTTAAAATGAATCCAACTCTCTTGCTAAAATGCATGGTAAAACTGCCCACAATAGAGAGAGTGGATCCAACCCTCCTCCCAGGAGCTTTGTGCAACGGGTTGTTCCCTATAAACCAATGATGAATGTGCCTAATAGAAGAGACTTGATACCCATGAGGTCTTGAACGTAGGGAGCGGAGAAGAACAAAAATTTTAAGCCCGATAATACGGTGACTTTCAATTAGTACTCATCTTTTTTACTAGTGTCAAATTTTTTGAATGTTTTTGGTTCTTTTTATAAATTGTGCTGCCATGTGGATGTCTCAACATTTAGTACATTTTAAATAAGGACTCCAGGGAGTAGTCACCAAATACTCCTTTTGTTCTTAATATAGGACCTAATTGTAAAGCTAGTTTTGGTCCTAAATATAAGACATATTTTTCATATTTATTAATTTTTCCTAAATTATTTCTATAGATACTCCCTCAACTATAATCAAGTAAATAAGAGAGGAAGGATATTAAGAAATATAATTATGATGTTTTAGAAAAAACGAGTCATATTTCTTATAATTAACTAACTTACTTAATTTCTATAATTTAATCAAATTACTTAAAAAAGTCTTATATTAAGGATCAGAGGAGTACTAGATATTTACATCAAAAGAAAAATGTCTTAATATTGTTAATCAAATAATTCCCAAGAGGTTGGATATATTATGAGAGAGTAGCTACGTGTGACCTGCAAAGGAGCCTACTCGTAGTAAAAGAAGATATTTAGAGGGTAAGAAGGAGACTGGTCAATGCATCATATCCTTGATCTGTATCAATGGGAAAGACTTTAGCTTTGGGTGAAACTCTTCGCAGTTTTACTTTTCTATGCTTTTTATTTTGTACTTTACCAGTTTTGTCAAATTTGGTTCAGGCATTGATGGGACTTGGCTGTTGCAAATCTTCCATTTCGTTTTGCAGTTATGTAGAATAGGAATATGCCACGTGTTCATTAACTGTTCTGGTTCTCCCTCTCTCGTGATTGGTGTGATTTTTCTTTGTTTGGCAGTTACCAGGTGATTATATTTGACTGGGTACAAGAAATAATCATGCCGTTAAATCTGGGTGCCATTTCGTCTCAGAGAGCTCTCATGTGTCTCAGAATGATTAAAGATTTATTCTATATCTTTTAAGGAGAAAAGGATCATATATGAAATTAGATCCTACCAAGCTTATTAGAACCAGAGTAAGGCTCACGGCTCAATAATGTTGGATGCTTATACTGCCGTAGTTCTTTAATATAAAACCTCGTTAACTGATTTAGAGAGATTAAAAAAGTTACTAAATTATTTTAAAATATTTATATTTTTCATTTTTCTCTAAATTAATTTGTCTTATTTAATATATAATCTAATAATACATATAAGTATTTTAGAGAAATCATGTAACATATATTATAATTGAGTAATTTAGTAACTTTCTTAATCTTCTCAAATTAGTCAACTAAGTCTTATATTAAGGACAATAAGTAATGAACTCGAAAATAGGCCTAGACTTGTGTATGGTTTGAACAAACACACCATGCCAAAACTAAATGAGGAAATTAAACTAAAGTACAATTTTTTTTTCCTAAAACTAATATATGTACACACTCATTTTATATACATCTTTTCCTTTTAATATGTATGCATCCTTTCATATCTCATGCATCACACAACTTGTTAATAATTGCAGTTTGGGAATTATTGGATTCACAAGGCTGTTCTTGTAGAAGGCCAATCAAGAACACAGTCTCATTCAAGATTTGTAGCAGACCATCATGGAGTGAACTTGCTTTATCATTGTGCAACTGAGCCTGAAGCTCAGATGAAAACGATTGAGGAGGGTGAGGATCCATATATGTCATTCCTTTGGGGAAAAAAAATGATATTCATCTCTTTAGAGTTAAGCTAATAATATTAAACCTTACTAACTTATAAAATTAAACATGAGTCCTTTAAGAAAATTTCAAGCAAAAACACAAGCAAAAAAACACCTAACGAACAAGTTTACCAAAAGAATATTTAGCACTTGGCCAAGTCAATATAGATAGATCTAAGCTAAAAAGTATCATTGGAATTCATTTTACTGTTAAGTTTAATTGATTTTCATTTTTTAAACCTTTTTTTTTTGGGCACAGGTTTTGTTGTTTGCAAGCCATTTCTGTTGAAATGGATTTCATCCAGGATCTTAGTTTTAGTAACCATAATTTTGCAACCAAAAGATGATACTGTGATTTGGCAACCAAAAATGGAATCTCAAGCTAAAGAGCCACACAAGTTCTTGAGGAAATCTATCTTACCAAGTAAAATAAATTTATAATAAATGTGTTACACATCTTGTCTGTCTTGACGAGTTGTTCTTACTTCTTAGTCGACACAACCGTTCCTATATATTCATCCTCTGCATTCAAGTCAGCCAATCTCTCTTCCACCTTCCTCCCTTATATTACAGACACACAGAAAATAGAAAGTATTCCATGGCTTCCCTTCTTCATCAGCCTGTAGCACCAGATAATAACTCTAAAGTTGTAGAACTACAAACCAGTCTAGACTTTATTACTACATTTGAGAACACGGGGATCCAGCCAACAGATAGAAGCAAAGGCACTCAGAGGGAGGATGAGACGGTTTTCATGACATGGGAAGATTTGTGGGTGACTGTTGGAAGCGGAAAGAATAAAAAACCAATATTGCAGGGTCTGACTGGGTATGCCAAGCCAGGACAGCTTTTGGCCATAATGGGTCCTTCAGGATGCGGGAAAACCACACTCCTTGATGCTTTGGCAGGTTCCACTTTTTTATGACACATCTCTATATGAACTTCAAAGTAAATAATATGCTGGATGATACTGTTCTTGTATTGCTTCCAATTTCCAAATGACATTCAAGCATATTTTGGGCATTTTCAGTTTGGAATTATCTGTATCTTGATGTTCAGTTCTCCTGTTTAGAGTAGTTTGGTAACTGATGTGAAAACTACAAAACGATCCTTCGCAAAAGAAGGACCATGCTATAGACATCAAGTTTGACATCACATGTTTTTTCCCTCTTGACGCTAAGGATTAAGGGAACTTAAGTGGAAGGAAACTAACTTTCTATCATTTGTTGAGTTGATTAATTGGTTTAAGACTTAAGCAGTTGTAACGCATGCTTTTAACTATTATCGCAGGAAGATTAGATTCAAACATGCAGCAAACAGGGAAGATTCTAATCAATGGAAACAGACAGGCACTAGCATATGGAACATCAGTAAAAAAATTACAAAAGCCATGTCCAAAAGGTTTAACAGTGTCACTAACCTCACTCCCTTCCCATGCAAACACAGGCATATGTCACCCAAGATGATGCTATGCTGTCAACTTTAACGGCCGGGGAAGCTTTATATTACTCATGCCAGCTCCAACTTCCAGATTCTATGTCCATTGAAGAGAAGAAGGAGAGAGCGGACTCTACACTCAGAGAAATGGGTCTACAAGATGCCATCAACACCAGGATTGGAGGGTGGACTTCAAGAGGCCTTAGCAGTGGACAAAAGAGAAGACTTAGCATTTGCATTGAGACTATAACACGCCCGAAACTTCTCTTCCTTGATGAACCAACTAGTGGTCTTGATAGTGCAGCTTCTTATTATGTTATGAGCAGAATTGCCAGTCTAAACATAAGGGATGGCATTGAAAGAACAATTGTAGCATCTATCCATCAGCCTAGCAGTGAAGTTTTTCAACTTTTCCACAATCTCTGCCTTCTGTCTTCTGGTGAAACAGTATATTTTGGCCCTGCATCTGAGGCAAATGAGGTCAGGAGCTAGAATCCATATTTACATCATTAAATATTTCCAAAAAAGCACAAGAAAAAGCTGATTTTAAATTGACTTCCGAAGCTCTGCTTTGATTTATTGTAGTTCTTCGCTTCAAATGGTTTTCCTTGCCCAAGCCTCTACAATCCTTCTGATCATTTCTTAAAGATCATAAACAAGGATTTTGAGCAGGTAAGCTAAGTTTTTTTTACCCTTGCTTGAATTTACAATGAAACCTACAGCACTACAGCACACTCAAGCCTTTTGTTTAATGCTAGAGAAACTTTGAATTTACTTTTATCATTTCCAGGATCCTGAAGAAGGCTTTGGTAAAAGAGTAACCACAGAAGAAGCGATTAATATCCTTGTGGAGTCCTACAAGTCATTTGAAATTCGCCAACAAATTCTGAAGGAAGTGGGAGAAATAAGCGAAAGTGTAAGTTTAGTGTTACATTCATAGCAAAAACCATAACGCAGCAAGGATGCACAATTTTTCAAAATTCAACCATCAACAAGACTGAAATCCAAGAACTACTAACTCCTAAATGAACCACAGGATTCTGATGCATTTGGGAAAAAGAGAACCCATGCTGCACTCGTTACTCAGTGCCTTGTTCTTATAAGAAGATCTTCCCTGCATATGTATCGTGACATAAGCAATTACTGGTTACGTCTTGCTGTGTATGTTGCAATAGCTATAAGTCTGGGTACCATATTCTATAACGTGGGCTCAAGTATTGAATCTATTCAGGTAAGAGAAGTAAAGCAACATTTATGTGTGGCTCTTAATGCACAAAGTTTGCTATTAATATCTTCCAGTAAACTGCAGGCTAGAGGATCGCTGCTCACATTTTTTACTTCAGTCCTTACTTTCATAACCCTTATCGGTGGATTCCCTCCATTTTTAGAGGAAATGAAGGTAATGTTTTGTTCTCATTGTCTAATTTTCAAAAGAAAAACATGTCTTGGTTTCAAAGCATTGCACTTTAAGCAGGTGAGTTAGTCTGCTTTTTAAGAAAGGTGGTATTTTCTCTTAATATTAACCTCAGTTTGACTCTTCAAAAAATAAAAAGAAAATCCTAAAGTACCAAAGTACCCTATAATCAACTGAAGAATAGATTTAATCCAGAGCAAAAGGCAAAGATTCAAATGCCAACAAAAAACAAAAGCAGTACACTTTTGCATTTGAGCTTCTATTACATGACCCTAATTACATTATCCTATAATGTGTTGTACTCACTTTATCACTTCTTCTTGTCGTCAAGTCAGGTATTTAAACGAGAGAGGTTGAATGGACACTATGGTGTTACTGCTTTTCTGATTGGCAACACATTATCTGCTATTCCATACATGCTACTGATATCTCTGATACCTGGAGGAATAGTTTATTGCCTTTCTGGCCTGCACAAAGGACTTGAGCAATTTTTGTACCTGACGTCTGTGTTGTTTGCCACTGTTATGTCTGTTGAGAGCCTCATGATGGTTGTTGGGAGCTTCTTCCCTAATTTCATAATGGGGATGATCATTGTTGGTGGAATTCAAGGAGTCATGATATTACTTGGTGGTTTCTATAGATTGCCAAACGATCTCCCCAAACCATTTTGGAGATACCCTTTATATTATGCTTCATTCCACAAGTATGCCTTCCAAGGATTGTTCAAGAATGAGTTTGAAGGTTTAACATTTCCCACTGATCATGATGGAGGCAGCAAAACCACTAGTGGCAGAGAAATTCTGACAAACACGTGGCAAGTGGAAATGGGCTACTCTAAGTGGGTTGATCTGGCAATCCTGCTTGGAATGATTGTTCTATATCGGCTTCTGTTCTTGGCCATCACTAAGACCAAGGAGAATGCAAAGCCTATGGTTGCAGCTATCTGTTGTTCCCCAAGCAAAATCATGGTGACCCGAAGAAATTAGCACAAGAAGACATCCAATGTCACATTTTAAGGTAAAAAAACAATAGGTTGGTCAGGGGTAGCGCACGTGTTTCTGTTTGATTCTTCCTAAATTATGTAAGATATTGTTTGGACATGTCAAATTCCTACTGCAAGGGAGCATACAACCAAGAACTCATCAAGCAGTCACAATTTGTAATTATTGATATGGGCAAATTAATTACAAGTCAAGACAAGTGTGTCAAAGATATCTGACATACTTATATGTCTATATATAAATACCTTGATCAACATTTTTTGTTTTATACATATTTGTCCAAACCCATACGAGAATTTCTTCCATGAAACCCAACCCAGCCCGCATTCTTCAATCAATCGGCACCCACTGTAGCAGTTCGAAGACATACATTCGAGCACCGTTTTTAACATTTCTATTTCCTACTTCCCAAATCGCTACCACTATATGTAGACAATGGATATTTGATATGGACCGCATTTAATTTAAATCTAACTTGAAATTTTTTTTTTTTGGGGGGGGGGTCAATTTCATATAGGCATCATCTCGACCCCTGTGATATTTTTCTTGGTTTAATCATATATCCCATCTAAAAAAGAATTTTATTGAATAATATTTATATGTTTATCGCTAATTATGCATAATTTATTTATTCTTAACGACTATTGATTGTTACAACTTATAATTTTATTAGTTGCGCATGATTTAAGGTAGTGCAAATTTGTCCCACCTGTTTTACATCATAAGACATTTTTTTAGAGAAATATCATATTTTAAAGTATAACTCACTAAAAAAAATTTAAAATTACTAAATTTTAAATAAAATACTTAAATAAAAGCGTGCTATTATGTGAAGGTCCAGTCAAAATCTATTAAAGTATTATCAACAAACTTGATTTAAGATTTAGTAATTTCAAGCTTCCTTTTATTGGATTCTTCTTCTAATGAAAACATATATGAATGATTTTCAAATTTCCCTTCATAATTTCACTTTAATAAACAAATAAATAAAGACTTAAATAAATATATTTATTGAGAAAATCAAGTTATCAAACTATTTTTAATTGTTTTTGTTGCTTTTTATATAAATTAGTTGAAAAAAATATTATAGTAATTTGTTGTTGATCCTTGTCTTTTAATGTCAAAGGATCTCTTTTATGGTCTATCGTCCTTCTTCTTCGAGGTTGTTGTGATGTTGTTAATGTCACCATCAACTCGCTTCCTCCTCGTTTGTCATGAGATATGTTTTATTAAAATAAATATGTTTAATTAGAGAAAATGACAACTAGCTACTTTCTTCGAAAACTATGAAACATGCAAGCCTTTAATGTTTGGAAAATGACATGTTTTTCCAACAATCTGGGGAAGTATTTAGGGATTCCTCTGATTCACAGGAGAGCGTCCTATGTCACTTTTGCCCCTCTGGTGGAGAAAACACATCGAAGGTTATCAGGTTGGAAGAGGAATTGTCTAAACTTGGCAGGAAGGTCCACATTGATTAAGGCAGTACTTTCAGCACTCCCTACTTATTATACGCAAACAATACTTCTACTGAAACGGCTGGTAGAGGAGCTAGAAAGGAAGAGTAGAGGCTTTCTTTGGGGACAACAAGATGACCAAAGAAAACTGCATCTCTTATCCTAGGAACAGGTGACTAAAAATAAGAGGCAAGGGGGCTTGGGAATTCGAAGGTTGAGACAACAAAATGAGGCCTTTATAATGAAGATTTGTTGGGGTCTTATTTCTAGCAAGGAGGCACTGTGGGTCAAAATACTACGAGGGAAGTATCGTTGCGGGAATCAAGACATGCCGGATGTTAGTAAGAAGAAGCATTTGTCTCTTACTTGGAGGGGTATTTGCGACATTTGGGATAAGTTCCAGAAAGGTGTGGCAAAGAAGATAGGAGATGGGACTTCCACCTCTTTCTGGTATGACAACTGGTCGGAACTTAACATACCCCTTGTGGAGGTTGTACCAGAATACGAAGATTTGATTGACGGAAATGAGAAGGTCGCAGATTATACAGGGTCGGATAGAGAATGGAACAAGTGTAAAATGGAGATGTGGCTTCCCCGACAAGTGATCGATAGAGTCCTTAGTGCACACTCACCCCGTGAGGAGAGAGGAGAGGATAAACTTTATTGGAAACCAGCTTCAGATGGTCGTTTTTCTGTGAATTCTACCTATGATTTTCTGTTTGCAGGTACAGTGAGACAGGAGGATAGCATATGGAAGCGCATATATGGAGATGGCAAATGATGGAAAAGATTAAAACCTTCATCTAGCTTTTCTACCACGGGCAAATACATACGTGTCAGTTAAGGAAACAGAGAGGTATTGCAGAAACAGATTATGTCAGCTTGGATGTCAACAGGTAGAAGATCAAATGCACTTGTTATGTGATTGCTCGAATGCGACGGATCGATGGAGAGCAGTAGTCGAACCAACCAAGTGGCAAACCTTCTCCTCCCTCTCAGGTGCGGATTGGATCAGATGGAACCTCACTCAAGAGGCAGGATGTCAGTTTACTAAGAGAATGCCTTGGAAGACTCTATTTGGATACATATGTTGGGATATTTGGACAACCCGATGCAGTAGAATGTTCAATGACCAAGAAATTAGCAACAGGTGAGATGCAAATGACAGTTTCTTCATAGCTTGTTTAGATTACAACTTAGCAAGTAAGCGTGTAGTCTACAGGGTGGAGTCTACTCCGCGGCAAGCTAGGAAGGATACTGATGATATGTTTGTTAAGTTGCAAGTAGATGGTTCTGTTCTCAGGAATGGGCACAATGGCTGTGGAGGAGTCATCAGAGATTACTTGAATAACTGGATATGTGGTTTTTGTGCTAAGCTCACGAACGTACCCCCAACTGTTGCGGAGCTGATGGGGATCCTGCATGGCCTGAACTTAGTTTGGTCTAGAGGTCATCAAAAGATTCTTATATATTCAGACAGCATAGAGGCTATCAACTTAGCGATGCAGGGATGTGAAGACAGCTACCCTTTTAAAGATTTAGTTGATGATGTCAAGCTTACAGTTAATAGAGATTGGCGTACTATTTTTTGTCATGTAGAAAGGGACTTGGTCCCTTTAGCAGATTCTTTAGTGAATTACGCTCATAGGATAGACGGCAATTTTCACCTTTTTGATTGCCCTCCTCCCGACGTTACTGAGACGGATGGGGAGCAGAGTAGGGCTTGATTGTTTTTGCTTTGTACTTCTGTAATTTTTTACCTGTTGTCCTCTTTTCATTCAAAAAAGAAAAAAGAAAATGACATGTACTTCCTCCCCTCCATAGTATAAAAAATTGGTGAGAAGATGAAAATTTAGTCCTTAAATATGTTTTAAAATGATAAAAAAAATTTTATTTTACTTCTAAAAAATAATAAAGTTGCCTTTAGCATTATGCTTATATTATCCTTGTAATGGATGGAAGAAAAAAAATCACATTAATTATTCTGACAATCTCTTATATTTTGAATCATAATTTTTTTTAACCATTTTCTTATATTATGAACGGATAGATGGAGTAATAACTATCAAAAAAATTTTAATACTCAAAGCAAACTCTAACTGCAAATTTTATTGAGAAACATTTAACCAAATCATGGAGATTAAAAAATTAATTAAAATTAATTAAAGACAATAAATATGTAAATATTGTAAGTTTTTCTAAAAAAGTACCTTTCTTTAGGAGGGGAAAGAGTATAAGAGAAAGCATAAGAAAAAGAATGAATGATATTTCAGAAAATGATATAATAAATATATTAAATGTTAAAATAAGTAATTAATAGGATAAAATAGAAAATTAGTTGAAAAAAGTTCAAGACATCTTGCAAATGTTTCTTATAAAAAGAAAAGGAAGGAGTATATAAATAACTTGTAACATATTCTCGCATCCCAAGAAATGTATTAAATTGTTAAAAATTTTAAATTTTACCTTTATTTAAGTTTGTTTTCTCTCTCGCTATCTACAAATCATTCTTATTTTTTTCATTCTTTCTCTCTTTCCAATAAGAATTAAATGAGTAAAATTAGAAAACAAGTACTAAATATATTATAACTGACTTACATTAGAGACCAAAACTTTTTCCTACAAGTAACTTACATTTAGTTCCCCAGAGGCATATCATCAAAACAGAAGCTACAATTTATTTTAAAATCAATTTTCATATATGATGTGAAATTAATTGTAAATTTCACATTGTTAACTCAACTATTTTGAAAATCTATAGCCATGTTAATGACTCTTTTCTTTCACATATTCCGCCATTCTTTTCTCTTTATGTCAGCGCTTGTGCTTAGTAAGATAACGTTCACTAATGGCAAATTCACAAAATACACAGGATACGATAAGGAGTCAATAAAAAGGGGGGAAAACCCTAAGAACCTTTTTTAAAATTTAGGAAAACTATAAGGATTAAGAGATTAATTTTCTCTCTATCCAACTTTTTTAATTCACCCAAAAGAGTTAAATAACTCTTAGAAGGAACTAACATATGAAAAATAAAAAATCAAATTGCAGGTAGGTTGCGTACAAGGGCGAAGCAAACAGGAGATATGCTTGTCAACGGCCGCAAACAACCACTGGCTTATGGAACATCAGTATGAAAAATAACCCTTTAATTAGTTCATTTACAAACAACAAATTCATGAATTAATTTCTAACAACAATAGATCCAACAATAGAGTTTGCCTTTTCCCCCTTCGGGCGTATTTGACACAAGATAATGCAATATTGACGACCTTAAGAGTGGGAGAAGCGGTGCACTACTCAGCTCAACTGCAACTTCCTGATTTAATGACCAAATCGGAGAAGAAGGAGAGAGCAGACTTCACAATCAGAGAAATGGGTTTACAAGACGCCATTAACACAAGGATTGGAGGTTGTGGAGGTTCTAAAGGAATCAGTGGAGGCCAAAAGAGAAGGGTTAGCATCTGTATTGAGATTCTCACACGGCCTAGTCTTCTGTTCCTTGATGAACCAACCAGTGGACTTGACAGTGCAGCTTCTTATTATGTTATAAGCAGAATTGCAAGCTTGAACCAGAAAGATGGAATTCAAAGGACTATTATTGCAGCAATTCATCAGCCTAGCAGTGAGGTTTTTGAGCTTTTTCACAAACTTTGCCTTCTGTCTTCTGGTCAAGCTGTGTACTTTGGTCCTGCTTCTGCTGCAAATGAGGTTGGATGTTGCCCTTTTTTTTTTGCATAAGTTTTGAGTTTTTGGAAGTGTT